CAGCACACTGATGGAACCTTACAAAAAGTCACGTCATGCGTCACTTGCACAAGTGGTTGTCGATTTAAATGGACTTACGTTGTTTGTTGCAAGAATGCCAGTTTATGGTGGTTTCCACCTGCTTTTCCACGCAGAGTCCAGAAGGATCTTCTTCTGTAGTGGTACAGGTGCCTCTTTCCGCTCGTTTTATAGGGCTTGGTGAAGGTGATACTTGTAACCGGCGCCCCCCCCCCCCACACACACACACAACTCATCACCACAACTCCAACACTCTACAAAATTCCTGGTCTCTTTTATTTCTGTTTTCTTTTTCTCTGCAGGCAGTGGATTGACGCTGTTGAATGGGGGGGCAAATTTCCAACCTCCATCGGCCGCAGAGTGGGGCAGCGCCCTCTGTGCTCTCGCCAACTCAACTAACCACTTTGGGGGCACAGAGCTAAGCTGGACACAACTGAGCACACTACACAGAAAATAATGTGATGGGAATATATCTTAATGATTATTAGGGGATCGTACATACCTATTACCCACAAAATAAAAAGACTTTGAGTTATACCAAAGTTTTATCAGGCGTTGTAAGTGTTCAAATATTTTTAATAGATTTTAAGGTACGAAGTTTTACTTGTTCTTCTGAGAAAAAAAACCCAACTGATTTGTTGTTTAAAAGTGTAAGGTTGCATCCTGTGTGTGTGTGTGTGTGTGTGTCTTTGATGTAGTTGGACATGTTGGCTAAGGCTGGTGCCGACATCTTGATGCCAGTAACGGCGGGTGATGTTGAGGGAACTGCAGTCGACTATGCACACCATTCCTTCAATCAGGTAACACACCAACTGTGAAAACACTCCACACGTTTCACTTGAATTCAGTCAAATACAAAAGCCTTGCGATAAATCATATACATAAACTTGCATTCATTCATTATTACCTAAATGATTACCTATTTCTGAATCGCTGTCTATATGTTGTGTTACTATCTAGGACTCGCGTATTGCCAACACTCCCTTCCATGCTCTGAACATGCGGGAAAGGGAAACATTTAAAGCACGGCGCCAGCTGCTGAGCATGATGGGAGATCTGCTGAGGCAGACTGTTGCCCAGAGGGAGCAAGAGGGTGAACAATATGTCACATTGAATAGTCAATACAATGAATTTGTGCTTTCTGAATGCATAAACTATTATTTTGTGTTTCTAAGTATGGCTGTAAATCATTGTGTGTGTATGAGTGTGTACTTTATTTATGTAACAGGCACAGAGAGGTTTGTGCACAAGGGCTCGGAAAATCTATCACCTATAAAAGACATACACAGGTACACACACATTCACGTAAGGCACCTGCATATTGTCTCTTTTCTTTTTCCGATTTCCTGGACCAACTCTTGTGTGTGTGTGTGAATCTTTTCTCAGGAAACTGGGGTTTAAGTTCTGCTATCACTGCGGTCGCTCTGTGTCTGTGAAGCTGACCGCCTGTAGCCGCTGCCACAAGGTCTTCTACTGCTCCAGGATCTGCAAACTGAAAGCATGGGATGAAAGACACAAGGACGAGTGTATGCGGGCGTCAGGTGGGAATCACTGACTCTCCCCACAAACTCCCAAACAACGCCAGCGCCAAAACCCTAATCCATGAGCACCGACGCTCAGACCAGAAATATCACTAAATAAGCTTTTAATAAAAATGCCAATGTGTAACTATGTCATAGTGTTTTGAATCTTTGATATCCGTAGGATAAAGTTACGCTTTGGACAGAAATGAATGATGTACAATATCTGGGAAACACTAATCTGTTTTTTATCTCTTGGATGAACAGAACATGTAAATATTTGTCTATCTGTGTCTCTCAATCCAGCCTCTGCAGATGGCATCCAGAAGAGTGTTGTGATTAAATCCCAAAGAGCCCCCAGGCCCTTGACTGCCACGTTGAAATCCAAAACACTCCCCAGGCCCTTGACTGCCATGTTGAAATCCAAAACAGTCCCCAGGCCCTTGAGTGTCAAGTTGAAATCCAAAAGAGCCCCAGAGCCCTTGAGCATGGCACAGAAGGTCTTGGAGAGCCAAGTCAACCTGAAGGAAAACTACAGCTGCAACTGATGGACACTAACATTTCACACACTAAATTAACAGATGAAATACAACTTGTATCTACATAATATCACAAAGCACTTCTATTGCATCACTGCTTTCTCTGGTTCTGACTCTTAACTTTATATATTTGGCTTCATGGTGACGATTATATTTTGTGCCATAATAATTTTTCTTTGCCATGTTTATACTGTATTCCGTTGTAATAATAGTGTAATAATATCCCTGTCTGTACTGTTGCCACAGAAATATTGCAAAGCACTGAATGGCTGCTTTTACTGAATGAATCCAGATGTTTTTGAATGAATGAAGTTAAAAGTGTGACCAAAGAATATATTAAGTTCCACTTTTCCAGAGCAACTTCAAGCCTGACCTTTTAGTAGCATAAAGGGAACTATATCTAAATTTCATTGTACAATCATGTGTTGTAAATGACAATAAAATAACCTTGAATCCCTGAAAGATGAATTAATAAATAAATCTCAACTCAAGGTCCACTTACTAATGTTTTTACCTGCATCTTAAGGTCTTCTTCAGCAACTGGAGTCGTCTCAGTTGGCATCTTGGTTTCCAAACATAAATCATTCGTGTAATGACAACTAACTCCAAAAGCAGCAAACTCTGAACGCTGATGATGACCGAAAAGTTTGTTTGAAAAAGCTTTGAGTTCAGATGTTTAGAAAGTCAAGATTGAACTTTACAGCTGATGTTAAAACTGTACTTAAGTATGGACTCACCTTCAATGAAACAAGGTTTGTAACTGTAAGTGGGGTGTGACTGTTGTTAATATGATGAAATGTGTTGTAAAGTGCCTTTATTTGCCTGCTAGTAGAAGGGCTGGTTTCAGGTGGTTGATTAGCCAGAACCGGATATCTTGATGAATGCTGGCTAGATTACAATGACATTTGCTGTGGATGATTAAGGTACCAAGAGGTTGACTCATAATGCCTTTAAATGACCCTGTGAATGTTTTAGAGCTTTACAATCAGGCCAAGTTTTCCACTCGGACACAACAAATATAAAAATCCAATGTACGGAGAACTTTCTTTGACCCACAAAGAATGAATCATTTCCGTTGTTGTCACTTTGAGCTTTCCTCTGGAGCCAAACACCATCAGCTGTAACACTTCAACTGTAGTGGCCTCTCCTGTAGCACCACCATCAGACAAACATTACATTTGCATCATATAAAACGTTCCAGGAAAGAAACAGTGTCTGTGTATTTTGGATTATATTACTTAATGCGGTATGTAATAAACAATGTGGGACTATAAGCAGGGTTTAATTCTTTGGTCACATTTTCTACAAGTTGTAGCACGAATGAAGTGACAAACACTGAGCTTGTGTTTGCCTGAATGAGGAAACTGTGACTGGGCTGGAAGAAGAACACAGTACAACAAAGTCCTGAATTCAAAATATTATTTAAGGAAAAGCACAGAAGTATTCTAAATAAAGTGTTACTGATATATTATAACATTATCAGATTAGTAATACTGATGCAACAATGTGCAAGCAGAGTTTTACTGTTGCAGCTGCTGGAGGTGGAGCAAGTTTAAACTCCTTTACATACTGGTATTATACTGATATTTTAGTCCATAAATAAATCTGAGGGGTCGTGAGGTGATTAATGGGACAAAGTTCTGTGTAATATTGGATAATAATGAGAAGTTTAGAGGGATAAATGGTTCAATCTTGCACTTTATAAGATTATGGTATGTTTTTATATGTAATATCTTAATCATAAATGTAACTACTGTCAAATAAATGTATTATACAAACAAGTTAAGTTCCTCAAAACTGTACTTCAGTCAATGTTACATCCAATCCGTTTATTATACGGCACTCATCTACTGTGTACTTTGTACCTTGACAATTGGAGTGCATTGCTTTTATATGCAGCTCAATGAAATGTGCTATGATTGTGTGTATGTATCACCCAGATCTTCAGATAAAACATTATATATATATAAACTGGTTATTATTATTAAAGAAAGGTGTGTTTAACTGTAAATGGCACATAAATTGGTCATGTGCCTTTTACAGTAATGGATTAAAATGAGCTGTTTTGCATAATAATAGCAGAGCTGACGTTGCTGCGGTGCCCTGAGCCTTGCATCATACACAGATGAGTCAACAGAAGGTAACCATAGACCGGGACACAGACCGGACAGGCTCCCAGTGAACAGCGGAGATTGAACCAGACATCCCCGGACGCATGAACGAACTTAAACTCCAGCAGGAAACAAACTAATTGAACTTTTTTTAAGTAACCAGTAGAGAAGAAGCAGAGTCAGGAAGAAGCGAGGAGGAAGTGTTGTTGCAGTGGTTGCGGCCGGAGGAATGAACGCGGACAAGGAGGAGCAGGAAGACGAGCTGCTCGCCCTCCATAGTATCCTCGGTTCGGAGGAGTTCGTCCGAGATGAGTCGAAGTCTGCCGGAGAAATCCGAGTGTCTGTTGAGCTGCCTGCAGACTTCACTGTGACTCTGAAAGAAGGTGAATAAGAGAGATACTGTGTGTTTACTGACACTATTATGTAACTTATTACTGTAACTCTCTATTAGTACATTTCAGTAATAATACTATAGTTATCCCCCCAAAAAGAATAATTAACTACAACCATACTTTTGTTGGCACCCCCCTACTAATTTGAAATCCAATCACATCTTTGCATTCATTTTTGTAATTGTGGAGGAATTGGGAGATGGAAATATTCCCATTACTTTGATTATAACAAACAAAACAGGGTTTTAATTGCTGTAAGTCTGAAATTTGGGGCAATGACATTTTTGAGTAACTAGCTCAACGCAGCAGGTTAAGGACCTGTAACTGTACAAAATATGATATATTATGACTAATATGAGTTATTTATACTCAGATTCTACACAATATACATTTGTGTGTAAAACTAAATGAAACACATTGTGTAAACAAAGTCATTTAGGAAAAATTGTATTACAATATAATGTTGAAATGAAATCATTTGAACTGATTTTATATTCAGCATGTAGAAACCAGGAATGTTTCTTGTTTATTTGCTTTGGTCATGTTGTCTTATTGCTTTTCTTCCAAAGGTGAAACGCTGAGGCAGTACGAGATATCATTCCTCCCTCCTCTGCGTCTGACCTTTGAACTCCCTGAGGACTACCCATCCTCCTCCCCTCCCTCCTTCACCCTCACCTGCAGCTGGCTGACACAGACGCAGGTAATCATTAGAGGCAATATGGCTTAATTAAAACATTATTGGTCACATTTACGACTGGCCAGTGTGTGTCACAAACAGAGGCAGAGATGAATGCATGTTGCAGAGGGGTCAATAAAGATTACATCAGTCTGTTTGCCCTCTCCCTCCGCAGCTTTCTGCACTGGCAGCCCAGCTGGCTGATCTCTACCAGGCCACTGGAGGCGCTGTGGTACTCTTCACCTGGGTTCAGTTTCTTAAAGAAGATGCCCCCAGGTTCTTAGACATCCATACGCTGCTGGAGCTCCCCTCTGATGAACACAGCACCCAGGACAATAGCCAGGACTCATTAGAACCAAAGAATACTAAACACACTCCAGAGGCAGGACCCACAGATAACCAAAGTATTAATGTCTCAGATCCACGTGAACCGGACCTCTCTGCATCATCCCTGGAAGTTGAGCATCCCACATTGAGCAGCACAGACTCTCAGGGAGCTGTGGCGTTAGATTCCTGCAATCTTCCTCAAAATAATTTAACCTCCCACCACAGTGAAGTCACCCAGGATGGTCCAAACTCAGGGCCTAATGCAGATTATCAGAAGACCTCAAACAATTCTAACACGAGGGAGGCTGAACAGACCCTCCAAACCTCAGAGTTAGAGGCTGACTACCAGAATGAGCCGACTTCAGAGCCTCTTCAGTTTGCTCAGTCTGATCCATCAAATGAAGGGAGTGTTTCAGGCTCATCATTGCTTCCCTCCAGCTCCTCAGACCCGCTAGATGAGAGCGAACAAGGAGCTGCTTCTCTGCCAATCCACCCGAGAGAATCCCCTCAAACCCTCTCCGTTCTCTGCCTAACTCCGTCACAAACTCTCCTGTCCCAGCTCTTGATCTACGACGCGGCGCAGCAACAGAAACAGTTTGCCACCACAGTGTTTGACTGTGGTGTTTGTTTTGTGGGCTGGCTCGGTTTGGACTGTGTGCAGTTGCCTGAGTGTGGTCACATCTTCTGCCAGGCCTGTCTCGCCCAGCTCTGTAAACTCCAGATTACAGAGGGGAACGTCCGGGGTGTGACCTGTCCTCAGGCAGAATGCACTGCCACTCCTACACCTGCACAGGTACAGCCCCGACCTGTCTGTCTGCTCTCTCTGCCAACTGCAGCTTCTTTCTCTCTTTCTAACCCTAACCCTGGACCAGGACTCACTTCCAAAATAGTACACAGAAAAACTTTCCACTTTCAGCAGATTAATGTGGAAACATCCTTCTAGTGTCAAACCTCAAACATCCAACTGTAGAAACAAGAAGATTGATTGGAGGGGACTTAAGTAAAAGTAGCGATGCTACAATTTAAAAATCCATCCAAGTAAAAGACCTGCATTCAAAATTTGACTTCAGTAAAAGTACAGAAATATGACTTAAATGTTCTTAAAGTATCAAAAGTAAAAGTAATTAATATGCCATGATGTGTATTGAGTGGGACATTCTGCATCCTGTGTCAAAGTCAACTATGTAATGGCGAAATTCTGGATGCTCATATTTGGCATTTTGACATTTCTTGTTACTTATATTCAGATATATAGACAAATACCAATCTGCAATAAGCTAATATCTGCTGATATACTGATATCTATAACTCAACAAAACACACTACTGTTTATTGGAAAAAGAAATCTCTTGCATTTTAATTGAGTAACTGACACATTTGTTTTTTATGTTTTTTTTATTTGTATATGTCAGGTGAAGAGTCTGGTCGGGGAGGAGCTGTTCAGCCGCTATGATCGTCTCCTGCTGCAGAATACTCTGGACTGCATGCCTGGTGTGTTTACCTCACGGTATATTTCTGTACTACTGAATGTATTCAAAGCCTTTATACATGTAGAATGAGAAGGGATAAGAAATTCTCAAGCCAACTGTGGAAACAAGACTAACACAACTACAGAAAGAAAATTTTTAGCAACTTCTTCATTTAATTTTACATTGGGGTCATTGAAGAGTCTCTGCTCATGTCTCTTCTTTTCTCCCGTCCTCTCAGATGTGACGTACTGTCCTCGGCGTTCCTGTGCTTCGGCCGTCATCCAGGACAAGTCCAGCAATGCAGCAATGTGCTCTGTGTGCGGCTTCGCCTTCTGTGTCATCTGCAAAAAGACTTATCATGGAAAGGACAACTGTCAGGAAAAAAAGAAGAACGTTATAAAGCGGACAGGCAAAGACGCACAGCAAGCCAGTGTAGACCTGCCACAGTCACAAGGTACATGTGTGGAAAGGAACAACAAAGTACATTCAATGTCATGTGCATATTTTACACCTAAACTAAATGAAATGATGAGTGAATTAATATAAGTAATAATTATTGACAATGATAATAGTATCTTGAGCTGCTGTAGGAAGCATATATTCCTGGTGTGGGATCACACCATTATCACCAAATCATTTATATTATCTTAAACGATTAGTCAATCAACAGAAAATTAAACAGTAACTATTTTGATAATTATTTATTTTATTAATTGTTTAAGTAATTAAACAAACAAGTAATTAAGAAAAAATGCTCCACTAGTTCCAGCTTTCAGTTGATTTTCTTTGTCTTTTGTGATCTTAAGTTCAATATCTTTATGCTTTAAATTGTTGAATTGGTTGTACAAATCAATAATTTGAAGATTTCATGTTGGAGTTACTTATTTTATATACTAGACAATTAATTGATTAATGAAGACAGTAATTGGCAGTTTTAAGAATATTATACATTACGTTAATAGACTGATTTTAAATCACAATTTCTATGTCTAAAATGCACAAATATTCAGCTTTTCCTTTCCAAAGTGGATAAACCTCTGAAACAACATGATGTAACAGGAAATTATTATTTTATGATTAGTAGCTTTTCAAGCCAGGGTGACCGACAAATATTCAGGAGTCATAAATTTAGAGTTATAGTATCAATTAATCTTCTAAATTAATAGACTATTTTAATTTCTCAGCAAAAAAAACTATTATTCTATTCCATTAAAATAGTTTTATGAAGCAGTGGTCAGAGGAACCTGTGTTAGAGCAGATGAGCTGACTGGTTGATTGATTTTGATAATACTGTAGATAACCGGTTATCATAGACATAATGCATGCATACATGATGTGTATCTGAAGCAGAGCTCTGTGTTGCTGTGTGTGTGTCTCAGAGGGGATCAGGGCTCTGTGGGACGACTATGCCAGTGGCAGTAAGCAGAGGCAGCACCTCCTGGAGAGCCGATACGGCCGCAAGATATTGCAGGTCACTGTGGAGGCGTCTCTGAGTGAGGACTGGATAACCTCTAATAGCAAGAGCTGTCCTCACTGCTTCTGCAGAATACAGGTATTTATTTATTACCACTTATTTCACACATAGACATTAACTCATGAGCACAGACAGATTTTTATTACAACAAGAAAATGACAGAACATTGCACGTATGTTGTTTTTCGGACTGTTTAGACCACTGTGTCTTTGCTAATACATATGTTGTTGTGTTTGTTTGTGTTGTAGAAGGACAGTGGGTGCAACAAGATGACTTGCTCTCGGTGTAGACGGCTCTTCTGCTGGGCCTGCCTCGCCAGACTGTCATACTCTAATCCATTAGCACACTTCCAGGACAGTGCCTGCTTTCTATATACATACAACCAGACATAGCCCTTCAGCTACCTATAACACCGCCAGGCACTGGCCACCGGCCGTGGAGGGATCGTGTGTTCAGATCTGTTTGATTTTGAAGTGCACTTTTAACAGACACTTGAAAAACATACAGAAAAATCCTGTTTTCAAACTGTTATCATCTCAACACTGTTTGAATCATTTCTTTTACATACGTTTACCTCATTATTTGACACTTTGGCCTCATTTAATATCAACATACGACATTGCAATGTTATAAATATGAATAATGAAAAACATAATACCTCCCTTTTAATATCACTGATTGTCATTTACAAAATCACATCACCTGTCATATTATGTCATGACCAATAGAGGGCGCTAAATAACAATAATAATAATAAAACAGCTTGGGCACAATCAAGTAACTTTATATGAAATCCCTTTTGGTTCTATCAAGACATGCAAACATGCTTTATCTTCCAGTATTTAATAATATATAATATATATATATATAATAATCAAACATTAGTGCATTAGTGAAAACTGTTATGTGACATTCTGATTTGCAGCTCTGGATGCAAACAGTAATAATCTATGAAAGAAGACCACTCAGTGGACCTTTTTTAAACCAAATCAAGTCCCACTAATGATTAGGGATTCTCAGTCAGGCTGCAGCTGATACCAGTTGTTTTATTTGATTAATTGATTATTCATTTGGTCTATAAACCCAGCAAATAGTGAAAAATGGCCGTCCCAAATTCCTAGAGACTGTGGTGATGTCTTCAAATGTCTTGTTTTCTCCACAACAGCAGTCTATAACCCAAACGTATTCTGGTTTGAAAACAAGAAAACAAGAAAACAAACAAATATCCACATTTGAGAGGGCGAAGCCAGTAAAACGTGGCTTTAATGTTGAACACAAGTATTAACATAAAAGCACAAAAGTATGCCCTTTAAAGCATGTGCAGGCATACACGTGTGCAGACTGCAGTACTGTGTGCAAAATAAATGTAATTATATAAGTTATAAGAGAAAATAGAGTTGGAATATGTATTGCACTGTGCCAGAGGTTACCATAAATATAAAGTGCAATTAGGGATTCCAGTAAGACCTCAGCAACCTCCCCATCCACTGATGTTGGTCCTGCGACTAAGTGGGGATGTAGACTATGAGAGCAATGAGTTATATAAAGCTATGAGACAAAAGTGCACTGCAACATTGAAAAGGTATAACTCCAAGTGGGACTGTAACCACAGTGGCAATCAGCAAATGTCATCTGAGTCACCAAGTGTCACTTAGCACAAAGGAAAAAGGTTGATTATTATACACAGTTTGTATCATTTGCAAAACATTTTATAGGTGCACATTTTACAGGTTCAGCCCCTACTTTTATCTAAAGTTTATACACATTCAACCCTGCAGGTAGTTAGTGGGTGTTTTGAATACTCACTGATTGACTTCCTGTTTTGAAACGTTTCCTTTCCTCCACTGTTCTGTCATAACAGTGGAACAAAGACCGCTGTAGTGTGTCCCCAGGCTGTCTGAGACGTGATCGGGAATTTACAGCTGTCTTTCATATTAAGCCAAAAAATACTGGCCCTCCCTATTGCTGTCTCTCTCTCTCTCTCTC